GCGCCCTCGCCAAGATGAGCAAGAACGACGAAGACGTCAGTGGCGAGATCTCCGATCTCTCCGAGAAGGAGATCGGAGTTCTCGAGGACTGGGTGAAGAAATTCCAAGCCAAGTATCCCGTCGTCGGCCGCCTCGTTTCGTAAGAAAAATTTTAAGCTTGATTGTGAAATCTTTGATTATGATCTGGATTTGCGTGGATCTGATGGTTTGGGAACCTAAAGATTTAAGTTTTTAAGCTAATACTCTTAATCATATGTTTAATAAATTGCGATGTTACATAATGACCTTTAGTCGTGCTATAGTTGATGGTCGTGCTCTTGTTGAATAATTAGTAAGTATTGGTGGTTGTAACTCTTTTCTTTGTGATTATATTTATGGCAATTTATATACATTCCCTTCCATTCCCTTCTTGTTATTACACTTTCTAAACGGGGTAAAATAACTTCCACTTGATTCACCTTACTAGTTTCCCAAACAAGTTTTAGAAATTCCCTTCCCTTCCCTTAACTTAGGGCTTGTTTGGATTGAGGGGAATGAGGGTGAAGGGAAGTTAGGGGAACCATTCACCTCCATTCACCTTGTTTGGGAACACTTAGGAGGTGAAGTTAATTCATCTCCATTCACCTTGGTTCACCCCCTAATAGTATAAAAATTGTTACCCCCCAAATTGGGGTGTAACCAAGGGGAAGGGAATTCCCTTCCCTTCCATTCCCTTTCCTTCCCTTCACTCAGTTTCCCTTAACTTCCCTTCACCCCTACGAATCCAAACAGGCCCTTAACTTCCACTAGGTTCCCCTAACTTCCCTTCACCCCCTCCAAATCCAAACAAGCCCTTAAGATATGCAAAAATTGTAGAAGTTAATTTACTAGATAGACCACAATTTATTAAGATATGCAAAATTAAGAAGCTAATACTCTTACATAAGTGTCCCTTTTCTTTTCTTTAAGATATGAAAAATTGTAGAATATACTTTGCTAATTATTAGGATTAGGAGAACTATGTGATACTTGATTTGTTACATTTTGATGATGATTTGGGTTCACTTGATTCTATGAGTTGATGACTTTGGTATTAAATCATTTGGAACAGTGAAACCTATGTTGATATTATGATCTGCCATATTATACAATATGGTTGTTTTGTTGGAGAAATGGGTGATTTATAAGTGTATAAATATTATAATAAAAGAACACCTACCCCTTAATTAATGTTACACTGAGTAGAATTGGTATAATTGACTATGCATTTGGTTTTGACTTGTGGAAATAGGTGAGATCAGACTATGTACACCAATATGCTATGTCCCATATACGATACAGGAAACCGGATATATGAAATATATCTGCTAACAATGTGTAACTTGTGACATTAGGTATGTTGTGTTATCTTTTTGTTTAAATGACTTTGTGAACAATGGTAGATTGGTCTGTGACTATATTGCTGGTCATTTATGAGGTTTATGTAGAATTATGAAAGTTATGATGTGTAGGTTTTTATAGCGAATGGCTAGAATTTTGAAATTCAGAATTTTCCTGTGTCCCTTATAAATTTTCTCTCTTAATTTTTAATGTATCTACCATGATAATTTGGATGTCGTAAACGACTAAAAATGTCCAATAATCGTGGGTTATAATTTGGACATCCGCAAAATTATTTGACAATAGATTGATATGATTAAAAATGGCAAAAAATCGTAGGTTATAGATTATAAAATCTTGAATTTTGACCTCCATGAAATTATTTACTATTATGGGTCGAAATGGTTAAAAATAGCTAAAAATCATTGATTATAGCTCATGAAATCGTAAATTTTGGTATTTGCAAAATTATTTACCAATGGGTGGAAATGACAAAAATGATCAGAAATCGTGGGTTAGCTTATGAAATCGTGAACTTTGATCGTCGTAAAATTATTTGCCAATAGGTCGAAGCGACTAGAAATGGTAAAAAATCGTGGGTTATAGCTCACGAAATTGTGATTTTTGGTCTCCGCGGAATTATGTGCCAATGGGTCGAATCAAATAACAATGACAAAAAATCATGGGTTATATAACTTATGAAATCATAAATTTTTGCCTCCATAAATCTATTTGCCAATAGGTCGAAACGACTGAAGATAACCAAAAAGTATGAGTTATAGTTCATGAAATCTTGAATTTTAGCCTTTGCCAAATTATTTATCAATGGATCACTAGGAATATAAATAACAAAAAATCGTAGGTTATGTAGCTCATGAAATCGTGATTTTTGGCCTCCATGAATCTAATGGGTCAAAACGACTAAAAATGGCAAAAAAATCGTGAGTTATTACTCATAAAATTGTTAATATTGACATTCGCGAAATTATTTGTCAGCAGGTCAAAACGACTGAAAATAGCCAAAATTGTGGGTTAGCCCAATACTTGTAAAATTTGACCACTAGGAAGTTATTTTCTAATAGGTCGAAATAGCTAAAAACAACAAAAAATTGTAGATTATAACTCATAAAATCGTGAATTTTGGACTCCACAAAATTATTTGCCAGTGGATCAAAATGACTAAAAATGATAAATAAAAAAATTGTGGGTCATAGCTAATGAAGTAATGAAGTTTAGCAAATGTGAAATTATATAACATGTCGAAATGGCTAAAAATGGCCAAATAACGTGGATTATAGCTTATAAAACAGTGATTTTTGGACAATGCGAAATTATTTGGCAGTGGCTCGAAATGACTAAAATGACAAAAATTGTGGGTTATAGCTCACCAAATTGTGGATTTTGGACTAGACTAAAAATCTTTGATTATAGCTCATGAAATCGTAAATTTTGGCATTTGCAAAATTATTTACCAATGGGTGGAAATGACAAAAATGATAAAAAAAATCATGGGTTAGCTTATGAAATCGTGAACTTTGATAGTCGCAAAATTATTTACCAATAGGTCGAAACGACTATAAATCGTAAAACATCGTGGGTTATAGCTCACGAAATCGTGATTTTTTGTCTCCGCGGAATTATGCACCAATGGGTCGAATCAGTTAACAATGACAAAAAATCATGGGTTATATAACTTATGAAATCGTAAATTTTTGCCTCCATAAAACTATTTGCCAATAGGTCGAAACGATTGAAGATAACCAAAAAGTATGAGTTATTGTTCATAAAATCTTGAATTTTAGCCTTTACCAAATTATTTATCAATGGATCACTAGGCATAGAAATAACAAAAAAAATCGTAGGTTATATAGTTCATGAAATCGTGAATTTTGGCCTTCATGAATCCAATGGGTCAAAACGACTAAAAATGACCAAAAATCGTGAGTTATTGCTCATAAAATTGTTAATTTTGGCATTCGCGAAATTATTTATCAACAAGTCGAAACGACTAAAAATGGCCAAAATTGTGGGTTAGCCCATATACTTGTAAAATTTGACCACTGTGAAGTTATTTTCCAATAGGTCGAAATAGCTAAAAACAGCAAAAAAATTGTAAGTTATAACACATGAAATCGTGAATTTTGGACTCCACAAAATTATTTGCCAGTGGATCAAAATGACTAAAAATAATAAAAATTGTGGGTCATAGCTACTAAAGTAATGAAGTTTAGCAACTGTGAAATTATATAACGTGTCGAAATGGCTAAAAATGGCCAAATATCGTGGATTGTAGCTTATAGAACAGTGATTTTTGCACAATGCGAAATTATTTGGCAACGGGTCGAAATGACTAAAATGGCACAAAATTGTGGGTTATAGCTCACCAAATTGTGGATTT